AAAACAGGCACATAGATCAATGGAACAGGATCGAGATTCTGGAAGCAAAGTCTCAATTCCTCAACCAACTCATCTTTGATAGAGCCTCCAACAACAACTACTGGGGAGAGGAAAACCTATTCAATAAATGGTGGCGGGAAAACTGGCTGACCTCAAGCATATTGAAACAGGACCCCTACCTATCACCATACACAAAAATTAACTCTAAATGGATCAAAGACCTAAATGTAAAACCTGAAGTTATAAGAATCTTAGAAAATATAGGAGAAACCCTTATGGAAATTGGAACTGGGAACCAATTCCCACTCAGAACCCTACAGGCCAATACTGTAAGAAATAAGATAGATAAGTGGGACTTCATCAAATTAACAAGCTTCTGCAAAGCAAAAGAAACCATCAAGAAAGCAGGGAGACAACCCACAGAATGGGAAAAAATATTTGCCAACTGTATATCTGACAAAGGTCTAACATCTAGGATCTACAAGGAACTCAAATGCACCAAAGAGAAAAAAACAAACAGTCCCTTTAAAAAGTGGGCAAAAGATATGAATACACATGTCTCAAAAGAAGATATACGGGCAGCCAGCAGACACATGAAAAAGCGCTCAGCCTCACTCATTATCAGAGAAATGCAAATCAAGATATTTTTAAATTCGAGATTTCTATGTGACCCATGTAGAAAAGAAGTTATGTTTCTGCCAAAAAAAAAAACTGTAATACACCTACTATTAGATTGTAACTCTGTACAATATTTTTGGGTTCTTGTTATCTACCTAAAGACAATACTAGATCCCAGATTCTTTTGGGTCCCTCCCATCCAACTTTCTTCCATAAAAGTAATAAAATTGAAACTACTCTGTTTTTAAACCCTATAGGTTTAAACTAGATGAACTTTATAAAAAGTTTTGTCCCTATTGTGTGAGCCACATAAAAAGTTCACTAAACAGCGTTATGCCATAATCAGAGACATTCAGCCTATAAACTAGGATGAAAAGTTCATGCTTACCAAGCTTTTACAGTTTTCCTAAGATGGTGGAACAAAACTCCATGTTATAGTAAGACTCTTACTCCTTCTTAACATTACCTTTGTTCCATTTGACAAGATAATGTTGTAATTACATATTCACGATCAGTTAAGTGTTTCAGTAACTTGACAAAACCTGACCTAAGAAATTCTTTTACCATACCTAGTGAACAACTTTGACAATATTCCTGACACAATTTTGTATTCAAATTGTATTAGTAGTCTCTCTTATAAAGCTGAAATTCTTTAATTTATTTCAACACGTTCATAAAAATCAAACCATCCAGTTCCCCCCATGATCTTTTTACTCATTTAGGTTGCTGTCCTGAGGCTTGGGCTCTTAGTTCAAAAACATTGTACAACTAAATTTTTTATATTATTCTAAATTATTTTTCAAATTATGATTCTTACATTTCATCCTTTTTGCCTCTTCACCCTTTCTTCCAACAAGATAACATTAGTCCAATGCTTGGAGATGATTGTTGATGTCTATAAAACTACTTATAAAATTTCATGGAAGAATCCAAACAAAACTACCCTAATATTTTTTTTCTGTCCTCTTTGTTATGCTAATATGGGCCAGATCCCTGACATCACACTCTGTACATTCCCATCAACATGAAACAGAGACAATCTAGACAGGCCTATCCTGGCATCAAGAGATAATTAAGCTAGGCTCTGTGGCTCAGCCTGTAATTCCGCGCCTTTGGGAGGCTGAGGTGAGTGGATTGCCTGATCCTGCGGGTTCGAGACCCACCTGGGCAACAAAACCTCATCTCTACAACAAATCAAAAAATCAGCCGGGCGTGGTAGCGCATGCCTGTAATTCCGGCTACTTGGAAGGCTGAGGCGGAAGGATCGCTGGAGCCGAGCAGGTCGAGGCTGCAGTGGCCGGGAGCGGCCACTGCACTCCAGTCTGGGCGACAGAGTGAGACTTCAACTCAAAAAAAAAAAAAAAAAGATAATTAAGCCTAATTTCAAAATAGTTGATTAAAGCTTTTTGCACAGCAAAAGAAACAATCAAGAGAGTGGGAAGACAACCCGCAGAATGGAAAAAAAAAATTTGCTAATTATGTATCTGACAGAGCTGAAAGGCAAATAATATAATAATAATAATAATAATAATAATAATAATTCTATCAAAAGTGGGCAAAGAGCAGGAATAGACACTTCTCAAAACAAGATATACAAGCAACCAACAGATACATGAAAAAATGCTCGGCCTCACTAATCATCAGTGAAATACAAATCAAAACCACAATAAGATACCACCTTACTCCAGTAAGGATGGCCCTCATCAATAAATCAAAAAACAACAGATACCAGCAAGGGTGCAAAGAAAAGGGAATGCTTCTACACTGTTGGTGGGAGCACAGGCTAGTTCAACCTCTATAGAAAGCAGTATGGCGATTACTAAAAACTAAAAACTGACCTTCCTTATGATCCAGCAATACATATCCTGGGAATATACCTAGAGTGACAGAAATCTTTCTACCAAAAAACCAAAAAAAAACCCTGCACACATGTTTACAGTCGCACTACAAAATTGCAAATACATAGAACCAACCCTACTGCCCATCAATAGTGAACTGGATAAAGAAAATGTGATACATATACACAATGTATTATTACACAGCCATAAATAATAATAAAATCATGGAATTTGCAGCAAATTGGATGGAGTTGGAGACCATAATACTTTGTGATCTATCACAGAAACAAAGAACTGAATACCGAATGTTCTCATTCATTAATAGAACCTGAACATTAATCACATTAGCACAAGTGAGAGATTGGCAGTTAACGGGGAGTGAATGAGAGGAATATAGCATCCCAAAGGGTACCTGGCCCTAAACCAGGGAAAGTGAGGGCCAGTTGGAGATCCAAACTTCACCTGAATGCAGCCTGTTTGTGTAGCTAGTCCTGTCTTGGACCCCACATATCTATAATAAAACAAAAAAGCAGTGCTTTAAAAAAAAAGCTCTATTAAAAAGAGAAAAATGTAACAGTTGGTCCTACAAATTGGGTCACTTTTACCATATACGACTAAAACAGATTTGACTTTCGCAGATCTCCTGACAGGAGTTGGTTTTGCCATGGGAAGCAAAGTGTTGCACTGAAGTCAAGCCCCTACCTTTCCATAGAGGCTAGGAAATATGAGCCCTATCACCCTTGAAGATTATATTTTAAAGTGATGACTCACAGGATTTGAGAAAGGTATCCCTGAATTGTAAAACGTGTTAAAGGATTTTTTGTTTTGTTTTGTTTTGTTGAGTTGGAGTCTCACTCTGTCACCCAGACTGGAGTGCAGTGGCCACTCCTGGCCACCGCAGCCTCGACCTGCTGGGTTCCGGCGATCCTTCTGCCTCAGTCTTCCAAGTAGCTGGAACTACAGGCGTGCACTACCACGTCCGGCTGATTTTTTGATTTATTGTAGAGATGAGGTCTCGCTGCCCAGGCAGGTCTCGAACCCGCAGGCTCAGGCAATCCACTCACCTCAGCCTTCCAAAGGTGCGGGATTACAGGCTGAGCCACCGAGTCAGCCTGTTAAAGGATTTTTGAAAGATTTATGTCTCAACAAGATGGAGAAAAAATTTAAAATTACAAGTTAGATAAAGTAAATGCTCTAAGAAAAGGGAGGTTAGAAGCCTATAGTGGAGAGAAACTTGTGTAGGATTTAGAAAGCTGAGGCAATATTAAGGCCATCTTGGCCACTTCATACAAAATATAAATTAATTACATGAGAAAGAGTAACTCAACAGTGAATTCAAGTAGAAATTAAATTGGTTATGTGACTGGAATAAATATTTTCAATAATGGGACAAGTAAAATTTTTATTACCTGAAAGGTGCAGAGAGAACAGAGCTTCACTGCATCACTTCTATGTTATTTCTGCCAACAACACATAACTCGATTCAAACCATAAGAAATGATCCTACAGATTCTAGTTGAACATTTTGCAAAATAGCTAATCCATAGTATTCAAAAGTGTCAAGGTCATGAATGTTAAGGAAGATTGAGGCACTTTTCCAGACTCAAGGGCAATAAACAGACATAGTCACTAAATACAGACATTAGTTCTGAGCTGGATGCTTTTACTCTAAAGAACATTATTTTGACAATTGCCAATCTTTACAGAAGTATGAGTTAGATAATAGTTCTATGGCAATGTAAATTTGCTGATTTTGGTCATTGTGTTGGGGTTATGTTAAAGGAGGGTTGGTTTTTTTTTGTAGAAAATACACATGAAAGAATCATAAATACACATAAAAGTTTTATAATAAAATGCATCCATTTGGTGGCTAATTCTCAAGAAATTTAAGAAAAGTGTGTTTTTCCTATACTCAATATCTTCTTTCAAGTTTATGAGTTTCTAAATTTAGAAAAAATGAATATATAAAAATTAGATAAAATCTGAAACAAACAACACGTTTAACACTTTTACCCCAAAATTCTACTTTTAGTATTTTTATCACAGAAATAAAAGTGCTACCATTTAAGACAATATTCAAAATGTTTATTGCAGAAAAGTTCACAGCAGCAAAAACCTGAAAACAAAGATAATGCTCATCAATAGAACTGTGAAAAGTGTAAAAATCCATACTATAAGACAAACCTTAAAGCTATAAAAAAATTTCTTAAGATTTTTAAAGAATTTGTAAGAAGCAAGACACAGAAAAGCAATCATAACTTGATTACATTTGGTACAAAGTAAACAATGAATAAAATTCCTATATATAATTACATTTGCTCAAATTGAACTATATAATCACACAGAAAATTTGAAGGGTATGTTTTAGTTTGTTAACATGGGTTATTCTGAGACTGGAACCGGTGTACATGACAGAGGGAGAAGGGAGAAGAGATCTTGGTGTTTAACTGCATTTTAAAAATCTTACTCCTGAAGATTAATATTAGAGTCTAATAGGCCCAAAACATTGATCACTAATTATTTAACTATCAATTTTTTAAAACTCTAATATTGGCAAATCCATTTGAAAACACTGCTACAGCTTTCGGAGTAAATTTTGCTTTCTTTAGTAGAAGCACAACTGTTTACTTTAGCTGGTCCTTTTACAAAGAATCTGGGAAAGGAAGAGTAAATACATTGTTAATTATTGCTGTTGAAGACATCCATTTGTGTTATCAGATAAGACCCTCTTATAAATAAGAAGGTAATTCAAAATTTCAAAACATTTTAAAATACCTGAACTCATTAACCATTAATGTGTTCTGTAACTTAGGTTTATTGTCTGTGATTGGCCAAGAGTTCTCAGAGCATCTATCTGCAAATACCAGAACTGAATAAATTTCTCTCCACATTCCCATTGCCGCATATGTTTCAATGAGATTTTTTTAAGTCTATATACCACTTAGAATATATCCACATAAAGTTTTAGCATCTTTTTTTTAGTTTTGTATGCATATCTTCTTCTCTTTTGATATTAAATAATATCAAGATTAATAATAGTTTATTTTCAAATAATCTCTCTAGGTTTCCTATAGCTAACTGTGCAATGATGATAATAATTATTTACTTTATGATAGTGTTTCAGAGGTTAAGTGAATTGATATTTGTGAAGAACTCAATACACAAACTGACCCATGTAAGACTTGAATAATAAGTTGCATATTATTGTATTATTTATCTATAAAGCAGTATATTAAATACAGTAATAAAGTTATCTATAAACTACTTTAGTGTTACTGATTTATTCTATGAGAAATTTTTTTTTTTTTTTTTTTTTTTGAATTGGAGTCTCACTCTGTCACCCAGACTGGAGTGCAGTGGCCGCTCCCGGCCACTGCAGCCTCGACATGCTGGGCTCCGGCGATCCTTCCTCCTCAGCCTTCCAAGCAGCCAGAATTACAGGCGTGCGCTACTATGCCCGGCTAATGTTTTGATTTATTGTAGAGATGAGGTCTACGCTGCCCAGGCGGGTCTCGAACCCGTGGGATCAGGCAATCCACTCACCTCAGCCTCCCAAAGGCGCGGGATTACAGGCTGAGCCACTAAGCCTGGCTGAGAAATTTTTTTGAACTGTGGAAAAAGTTCAAGAAAGATTCTTGGAAAAGGTGCACATGATCTTCAAAGCTTCCAAATTCATAGGGGCAAATAAGTACTTAATTTTCATATTACAAAATACACTGTCTACATTTATATTTGACTTTTGTATTGTGCATATAATGGACAAAAATCCCTAGGCCTGGTCTAGAGTAAAAACTCAACCCTTAGAATAGTGTCAAGTGGATTTGGCATGAGGACAAAATCAAGGTTAGCAACTTCAAAAGTAGTCTAGCAGGTAGTGTTCAGTGACACAATTCTACCCTCAAATGGCACTCACTCATAACTTTATATTTCATTTCAAATAATGTTTTGATTCACTTCTTTAGATTGATTTATTTAGTACAGTGATAGAAAGTATATCATATTTAATGATGAAATACAGATTATAGGGAAAAATAACACAATAGCATCATTAAGTTGGTTACCATAGTGTATTAGTTTCCTATCATTTCTGTAAAAGACTACCATAAACTTAATGGTCTAAAACAACACCAATGTATTATCTTACAGTTCGAGGTATCAGTCCAAAATGGTCACATAGAGCTAAAACCAAGCTATCTACAGAATTGCTTTCTAAGTGGACTAGGGAAGAATCTGAGACGATCTGCATTTCTGGGCTCATGGTCACATTATGTGAACCACTGCATTCCTCTTCACATCTTCTATTCTAACTCCACTTCTTCTTATAGGGCCCCTTGTGATTTAATTGGGACCACAAAGATAATCCAACATAATATTCCTATCTCAGCCGGGCTCGGTGGCTCAGCCTGTAATCCCGCGCCTTTGGGAGGCTGAGGTGAGTGGATTGCCTGTGCCCGCAGGTTCGAGACCCGCCTGGGCAGCGTAGACCTCATCTCTACAATAAATCAAAAAATCAGCCGGGTGTGGTTGCACATGCCCGTAATTCCGGCTACTTAGAAGGTTGAGGCAAAAGGATCGCCGGAGCCCAGCAGGTCGAGGCTGCGGTGGCCGGAAGCGGCCACTGCACTCCAGTCTGGGCGAGAGTGAGATTCCAACTCAAAAAATGTATATATATATATATTACTACCTCAAGATTCTTACTTTACTTACACCAGCAAAGGCTCTTTTGCGTACCAAATAACGTGTTCATGGGTTTTGGTAATTAGGATGTGGACATCTTTGGAGACCATCATTTTGCTTACTAACACAGGAATGAGATTTTGACTTTACCTACATTACTATTTGAATTTCTAATTAAATATTTTATCATAAAATGAACAAAGTACACAAAAATATTGATGAAATTTATAAAATCCTCAATAATCCCAAGCAACTGTTGAGAGAATTTTGGATCATTTTGTTCTATCTTCTACTTATTGTCTGTCTTTTAAAATTATGATAATCATATAACACAAAAATTTATTTTTTTATTACTAGCATGGCTAAAGTTAACATTGGGAACTTTAAAATAGAAGACTACATTGGTCCAATCTACTTTTTAAAATAAAGTATGAGAAATTTTTAGATCATAAACAATCATTATTGGTTTCAAATCCTTTTGCTTTAAAAGCCAAATCAATATGTCCATAATACCAAGAACTATTTTGGATACCACATTGGTGGACGTAGAAGTGCATCTGAAGAAATGTTCTACAGTAGACAATGAATCAGATTGCCTTTTAGAAAAGACTCACCTCTTTTGATCTAATGGAGAACCATCCACCCAAGTCCATGCTCTCTTCAAGGAGGTAAAGTTAAGTCCAATCCATACATAGTTTGATTGTCTCAGGTATTTCTGTATAAAAGCCTAGAGAGTGAATAATAAGTAGTAACTAAATGAGCAAAATATTTTAATAATTCAAACACAAAAAAATATTTTAAATTTTATTTTATTTGTAAAACTAGCATTCTGCATGAAGATTCTTATATTAATTAATTCATATCTTAATTACATGTATTATATAATATATATGTTTTACACACACACACACACACACACACACACACACACACAC